GTTAACTCAGATTACCTTGTTCTTGCCACAGGGTAAGAGCACGCGTACAAGCAGCAAACACAGCTCGGGAGGACGTGTGTTTAGCCTGCAGGATTCCTGGCTCCCTTTCTGGGTACGAGAGAGGTGGCACGGGGTTGTCCGCCCATTTCCTCCCCCTCCCCGATCCTCTGCCCAGATCCTTTCCCGGTCAGCCGTCCGGTTGTTTTGGGCCAGGATATTCTCCTTGGGGTGTCCTTTGGAGACAACAGAGACACTGGGAGCCTAGAGCAGCATCTCTGCTCTTTTTGCTCCCATCCCAGCTCCGGGAACGCGGGCGCCCTTCCTGCGGCTCTGTGCTGGACCGCACTCGGAGCGGCTCCGGGGACGGTGTCTCGTTCAGCGCATGGAGCTGATGGAGCCACAGACATGCATAGGAAAGCTGCCGCTTTGGGGAGTTTTAGCCATTCAGCTCCTGCAAGCGTGAACTGCAGCTTTCCATAGGCTCCTATGTCAGCCAAGCATAAGGGAGACTGTCTCAGGGAATGCGCTTTCTACGAAAATCGCCCCCTTGCCAAATGTAAAAGCCCTTTCCCAAAGGGCCTTTCAAAGGAAACAGCTCAGTCAGACTCGTAAGAAAGACAAATCCACATAGTTTTGTCTTAAATTCCTTCTCAGAAATAGCACCACGCAGAGCCAGACCCCCGGCCTGCAGCATTTCAGCTGAGCACTTAACATCAGCAAACGTAAACGCAGCCAAAACAGTAAGGGGGCAAGTCGGGCCGCGCTGCCCTCATGGTGCCTTCCCCGCTAGTGACGGCTCTTGTTCTTCCAGGAGAACCCGTACCTGTGCAGCGACGAGTGCGACGCCTCCAACCCCGACCTGGCCCACCCGCCCAAGCTCATGTTCGACTCGGAGGACGAGGGGCTGGCCACGTACTGGCAGATTTTTTTCCCCCCCCCCGAGCCGCTGCTGGCCAACATCACGCTGTCCTGGAACAAGAGCATCGAGCTGACGGACGACATCGTGATCACCTTCGAGTACGGCCGGCCCACCATCATGATGCTGGAGAAGTCCCTGGATAACGGGAGGACTTGGCACCCGTACCAGTACTACGCGGACGACTGCATGGAGGCGTTCAGCATGCCAGCGCGGAGGGTCCGGGACCTCTCTGCCACCAGTGCCAACAGAGTCCTCTGCACAGAGGAATATTCCCGCTGGGCGGGCTCCAAGAAGGAGAAGAACGTGCGCTTCGAGGTGCGGGACCGCTTTGCCATCTTCGCTGGCCCCGAACTCAAGAACATGGACAACTTGTACACCCGGCTGGAGAGCGCCAAGGGCCTCAAGGACTTCTTCACCGTCACGGACCTGAGGATGCGGCTGCTGAGACCGGCCCTCGGTGGCACCTACGTGCAGAGGGAGAACCTGTACAAGTACTTCTACGCCGTCTCCAACATTGAAGTCACTGGCAGGTAACGGCCGCTCTGTTTCTTTGGGCGTCTCTTCTCGGCGGGATGAGAAGAGGTTACTGTTGGCATCGTAGGCCTTCAGCATGCCTGTGAACTGATCAGATTAGCAGCCCGGCCTTTCTCCCTCTAACGCTCTGTCTCCCAAGCACCAGGAGTAAACCAGCTGTGTCCTTGCAGCGAGCGGCTCGGGCGCTCTCAAGGTCACCGCAGGAGCGCCCGCCGAGGACGCTCGCGTCCTTGCTGGAGCCGGGATGGAGCGGGGGAGCTCGGGAATGGCTCACGGCAGGAATGGGAAGGTCTGCATTTGGTTTATCTTTCAGATCCAGACCCAGTCCGTGAGCCTGGCCGGGCTGCTGCCCCCATATCTCATCCATCCCATCCTCATATGCCATAAAGCTCTTGGAGATGAGAGCCAGGCTCCTGTGTCTCTCCTTTGCCACAAGCCAAGGGCTGTCCATCCTGGGGGCAGAGAAGGCTCAAAACCCTCTGTGAGTTTGGGCTTGTTCCTCTCTTCCCTTGGGGCACTGCCCTCCTCCCTGCTGTGCGTATGCAGGGCTCTGCAGCGGGACGAAGGGCAGGAGTGTCCCCGAGAGACCCGGGGCAGTGATGGGGTGAGCAGGACGGGCCTCCCCCAGCAGCGGGGGGCTGAGGAAGGCAGCAGGGGGGCTGTTTCTCCGGGCTTTTGCTTTTCCTTGCTCCGGGCATTGCCATATGTTACATTATGACATCGAGCGAAAAAGCCAAGTAAGGTGGAAAAGTGCCGAGATGGCGAATTTCCCGTGCAGCTTGTGGATTCAGCGTGTGCGAGACTCCCAGGCAAGAGGAGGGGGGAAAACCCTCCCCGTGACCCAGCGGGTGCTCGCGAGGCTCAGCAGAGCCGCCGGGAGCCGCCTGCATCGCTCGCAACCTGCTCGTGAGCCCTGCACGCATGGACGGGGCATGTGGGCGACCTGGGCCTGGCAGCGGGGTTGCTCCGGGATAGAGGGAAAACCGGCAAGGGAAGGGCCCCTTCTTCCCGTTGGAGGAGGCATCAAGGGTGCCAGGGACGCCCAGGTGGGACTGGGCCGGGTGACAAGAGCCTCTCCCGTGAACGGTGCCAGGTCTGCACGCGGGGCCGGCGGAGCTGCTGGGTCGAGCACAGAGCGGCAGCGATCGATGCCGGGCGGCAGCGCGGGCCGGATCGATGCGCAGGGTGGGTGAGCGTAGCAGGATGCGCGGTTTGGGGCTCAGGAAGTGGTGAACGGGGCTTAAAGAGCCGATGCCCTTGAGCAGCGACCTTGGCTTCCGAGCGCGGGTGGAATCCGTACGTACCGCGCAGGCCAGCCGGGCGCCGCGACCGCAGCCGTGCACCTTCGGGACACTTGATGCTTTAAGGCACATGTTAAAATTATGTCACCATGTTAAAATTAAGACACCAGGGAACCAGTGTACAGTGTTCGAGGCCCTGGGGCTCTCGGTGTCCCAGGATTGCTTTTTGCCACAAAGTCACTTTATCTTGTCTGTGTCCCTTGTACAGGGTATGTCACCTGAGTATTTTTTGCTTCCTGGCTGTGCTGGTAGGACATGAACCGATGTCCACCTGGCTCTTAGCTGTCCTTCTCCCACATCCCTTCGCCAGGCTTTGACCTCACCGCCCAAATTTAATAACATTTAATAGCAGCAGAGAAGCCTCAGAGGTACTAAACCCCTACAAACTTTGTGAAAACGGGCAGCCAGGGCAGGGGAAAAAAATCCCTTTGAACTCCCTAGGAATGGCAACCTCTACTAGACATCAGAGCACCCACAGCAGGCTGCATCCATCCTTGCAGGAGTGGCGGCAGGAGCCTGAGTGCCGGCTGTGCCAGGCAAAGGGATCTCCACACATGGCTCCAGCAACCGGCAAAACCTCGTCCACCTTCTCCTTCTGGCAAGGGTAGCACCCTCTGAATTTACCATGCAGAGCCCAGCGGGTGAGTGAGGGTGCTCGGAAGCTGCGGCCAGCTCTGAGAAACAAGAGAAACTTTTGCTTTATTCATTTGCTCCATCCCCAGAGAAGACAGAACTGCCAGGGGCTGCATTGCGGGTTAGATGGGGTTGGGCTACAAAGGGCCGCTGGAAGCTGCAGAGCTGCTTTTGGCCAGGGCCACCTTCTGCTTCCACCCGGACGCTGAGCGCTGCGCTGAGCTCCGATGGGCCAAGGTGAGCGGATGGCCTCCCACGCGCTGCCGCGGAGCCGTGCCGGGGAAGGCAGAGATGCTCCAAGCGAATTATCCCTCTGCTCCTGAGCTCGTTCCAGCCCCAGCGAGCGGTTTTGGCGCTGGAAAGCAATGTAACGGCAGCTGTAAGCACAGCCCGGCACGGCGCAGGGGCCGCGAGCAAATTAGATCTCGTGTCTGGCTCTGCGAGGGGGAAGCAGGGAGGGATGGATGCGAGATGGATACAGGGCTGCACCGTGGGGAGGCAGAGGACGGGCACTGCCTTGCCCGGGCCTGGCAGATGGACGTGGAGGCAGAAAGTGCACAGACAAATCCGTGTGTGTCACTAAGGGACACATGTCAGGGGTCAGAGAAGAGGGAAGAGACGATGACTATGGAAAGGCAAAGGCAAAAAGCAGCCCCAAGATCTTCGCCAGAGAGCAGAGGAGCTACGAGCCCAGGGATGGGGTGATGCTGGAAGCTCCAGTGCCCTGGAACACCCATGCCCTGGGGCACCTACTCCGACAGGAGATGTTTTCCCCGCTCCAGGGTTCCTGGGATGGTGCTTTGTCCCCGGACACCACCAGGGTTGGGGCAGAAAGGAGTGAGGCCCCGTGGGGAACTGAGGAGACGATGCTGCTCATGGAGCCACCCTGGGGCCTCCTGGGCCTCATCCCACAACCTCAGCCGGATCCATTTCTCTGCTCGTGGCCGACAGTTTATTTTTACTCTCTTTCTTCTTCTTGATATCTTTTTTTTTCTCTCTTTCTCTTCCATCCTGTCCCTATCGATCCACCGTGTAACTGGAGATGCAGAGCATTCGCGACAGGAATAGCCAAGAGAAAGCCCTTGGCCCGGCGTGCTGGCCAGGGCAAAGAGGGGAAGCGGAAGGTCTTTTCCCTGCAGAGCTCTATTCACCGCTTGGTTTTCTCCTCGTGCAGACATGAGCTCAGTCTCCTTCCCGGGACGTGGAAAACGAGCTGCTCCTGGCCCCAGTGTCAGTGCAAGGAAAGAGGCTGCCTCTGTGTCCGTTACTCGCTGTGTCTCTTTGGAGTCATTTTTTCCCCGTTGCATCGTCAGTCAGCGCAGCGCGCGGCAGGGCACGCTCCATCACCAAGATGTTAACAAGCCCTAATTGAAGTTAATGTGCCGTGGTCAGGACACATGGATCCAGTTAGGAGAAATCAGATGGAGGAGAAGTGAATCAGTCTCGGATGGGTTAGGAAGATCGCGCTGCTTCCTGCTCCCTGCCCCGTCGTGCGCTCGGTCCGTCCGTCCATCCGTCCTGCTGCTGCGAGAGCCCATCGTGGAGCAGCGTGCGGGAGCGACGGTGCCTCCTCCCTGCAGAGGCTGATGAGTTGCCCTCAAGAAAGGCTGATGTTCTGCTTGGCAGCTCTGCCATCCTCGTCTCTCTTCTTTACCCCTTTGCTTTCTGCAGGTTTGCATTGCCTTCCCTCTTTTTAAAACAGCCACAAAAGAAATGAAGGCGGCCGCTGCTCCCTTCATCTTTAAGGGCCGTTTTCCTCCTCTTTCCTCCACCAAACATAGAGCATCGAGGCCACCCCACAAAGAGCCTCCTCCAAGCCCCAAGCTGAGCGGTGCCCACCTGCGAGGGCTGCTCTTCCCTGCTTTGCTGATGCCTCTCTGGAGATGCAGGGATGCTGCATGTCAAAGGCAGCATCCACGGGTGCTCCGCGCTCCTGCCGTCCTTCGGCAGCGCAGCGAGCGGCCCCCAGCCGCAGCGCCGCTCTGATCAGGGCTGCCGGCAGCAAGGCCTCCTGGCTGCTCCCGGGCAATCTGCTGAAAAAGTTGTTGGAGAGGAAACATCCTCCGCGCTCTGGCCTTGTCTGACAAGGGGATCAATGAGCCTTTGATCCCCCGGCTGAGCGCCTTTCCTGGAAGGCCGATGTGGGAGCCGCCAGCTCCTAGCGGAGCAGGGACCCGCAGGGAGCAGGGACAAATGACCTGGCACGTCTTGGAGCCTGGCCCCGGGCACGGCTCGCTCAGCCTCGGCGCGAGCAGCCTGCATGGATTGCCCTGGCGTTAGTCCAGGCTTGAATTAGCTCTAGCTCAAGCAAAAGTCTTGGGCAGGTAGTTAAATTAACTTGCAGCAACTGTTCGTTCCTCTCGCCATGAGCCTCTTAATGGGTTTTCCTCCCGTTGCTGCAAGATGGAAGAGAAACTTGCTGGGAGGGAGGGAGCAAGAACCCCAGCAAGCTCCTCCTTTGCCCAGACACCCGTGACACTTTGTCGATAGCCGGAGACAGATGCCCAAGGTCCTATTACGCTCTCTGGCTTAGTTTTGTGGAGGTTTTTATTTCCCCCCCTCCCCATTTTGTTGGCAAGTTGCGTCCGGCCCTGAGCAGATAATAGAATTTCATCAATAGACTGAGAAGGTGATGTATGTTAAAGCACTTAATATAAAGAGACTTCTACAGGAGCCCAAATTCAATTTGGCCAATGAACTCAATTGCAGGCACTATTGCATTCCAGGAGAAGGACCAGGAGCATTTATACACGTTACTCGGCAAATATTTACGCTCCTGTATCCGTATGATGTCCTCTTCACCCTTCCTCCCTTCTGCTGCCTGACCCCCTAATGGGGAAGTTTGTTTTTATGGGAGCTTTTTTACGACAGCTTTGAATGTAAATAACATTCCACCAGTCAGCGGGATCTTGACAGCTGGCGGGTGTCAACTTATTCAAAATAAATGGCCTCTCTAAAGGGAGCAGCCAGCCAGCACGCGCTCCATTTTGGCATCTTGTCTTCTCTCCGTAACCCAAACCTCAAATCATTTCAGAGGGCGGCGAGCGGGGCCGAGCCCGGCAGCGGGGCGCGCGCGGCCCCACCGCGCGACCGCGAGCGAGAACCCGCAGTGACGAAAACCACTCGCGGCCTCTCCCTCTGCCCTCGCCCGGCAGCGCTCGCAGGGTTTTCGGCTCTGCGAGAAGCAGCCAAACCCAAAAGTTCCCTCGTTGCTTCAAAACAGGCCTTGCAAAGGGCTTCTCCTCCCCTTTCAGCTTCTGGACCGCAGCCTCGCGTGCGCTCACGGCTCTTGCATGAATGAGCCGTCCTCGCTGCACTTGCTCCATGCTCAACGCAGCCTTTCTGGCCTGCTCCAAGCCTCTCAAAGCAGTGAAAAGTCCCTAGCCATGCACCTCTCGTGTCACCCAGCCACTCGAAGGTATTTTTCCTCGCTTTCACCCACACAGGTGGACCAAAAAGGACCCAAGCCCAATGCTCGCCACGCTTTGCCCAGCAGATTTGCTCCGTGCTTTTGCTGAGCTGCCAAGGCAGTTGCAAAGGAGCAGGGAGAAAGCAGGGAAACGAGCTGCCAGCACGGCCGCAAGCAACGGCCGCAGTGACAACAGAGAAAGAGGGGGAAGAGTTATTCACGTGTCCCCACGAACTGAGATTGGCTGTAACACCGTTTTCCTCGGGGACGGTGAGGAAAGAGCTCCCTTCAAACACGTGGTCCCACGAGGCTCATTAAGGGCTCATCAGTTACGGCGAGAGCAAACAATTCAGGCGAAAGCTCTTGCCGTCCTTCCCCGGGATGGCAGTCGGCACCGCGCGGCTCCTCGGTGCCAACCCGCACACACCGAGAGGGAGCCGGGGGGGACCCTGTGCCAGCGCAATGAGACGCTGGGGGGCAACGAGGGAGCCCCCCGGCACCGCGGGATGGGTCTCCACAGCTTGGCTTGGGCACGGGGTGGGAACCGGAGGCGGGTTGGAGTTGGTAGAAGGAGGAGGTCGTGGTGGTTTTCTGCTGTCCCCTGTCCTCCTGCTGCTCCTGCTAGGGGCTTGGAGAAGGACAGGGCACGGGGCAGCTCTCCCGGGCTCTGCCACCTCTGCCCTTCAAGGAGGAAGGGGATGGAGAAACGCTCCGTGCCCCTCTCTGCTGGCCTTGAGCTCTGCAAGACACAGCTATGCACAGAAGGGAGGCTGTAAAACCCGTATGGATCTTTAGAAAGGAAGCGAAGGGCTGGGGTTTCTTTTTAAAGTTATTTAAAAATTCATGGAAAGCTCCGGAGGTGCGGCCGCTTCCGCGCGGCTCCTGCAGCTTTGCTCCTCGCCAAGCGCGCCCGCCGCCCTGGCACCGCGTCGCGAGCGGCCTCCATCCACCGTGCTGACTCGCAGAAACGCGGGGACGTGACCCGTTCTTTATGGCTGTAAAAGGGGAAAAAAAAGAGAAAGAAAAAAAGGGCACATCCCTGTATACTTTCCTTGGCGCTCCAAGCTCCTTGCTCTTCCCTGCTGGAGGCGCTGGCAGCCGTGGATCGCATTGCACCACTTGGAGGGGAAGGCAGCGGCTGAGCGATGATGGACTTGGAAGTGGCCCATCTTGTGGGCTGGGACACGCTGGGCCAAGCAGAGGGCTCCGGCAACCAGACCCATTGCGGAGGAATGGCAAGGAGCGGGTGTCCCCCAAGCCATGGCCTTTCTGGGGACACCAGGGCTTCTCCTGTGTCTGCATTGAGCCTGTCCTTCCCCAGGTCGCGCAGGGGCTCGGGACACTTGCCGGGTCATGGAGCCAGCACCACCAGTCCTGAAGCACCAGCTGGAGAGCAGAGAAGCCCCCAGCTCACTGAGCAGCTGCAGCTCATTGCACTGATTGCTAGAGGGAGAGCAGGGCTAGAGAGTCCCCGAGGCTGGAGCAGGGCTATCGCTGCCTTGCGTCGGGCTCACAGCAGGTGTCCTCCCCTCTGCTGCAGTTTAAGCCTCGCTGCTAAGTCGCTCCTCACCTTTTCCTTCATCCTCTCTCTCCCGACATGGCTGGACGCCCAAGGCAGATGAGCGGAGACAGGCAGGACTAGCAGCTTCAGCCCAGGGGACCGCACTAATGTCATTTTCTCCCGTCTCCACCAGCTGGAGCTTGGCTGGAGGAAGCGGCCCCGCGCACACGGCAGTGTCCTTGGGCTGGAGACCCCGCGGAGGAGGCAGAGAAGGGGTTAAGGCCAAGGCAGAGAGGAGGCCCTGGCTCCGAACCGCTCGTTCGCGGCGGGATTGGCAATCGGGGCCGCTGGAAGCCCCTCCGCGGCTCGCTGTTAAATAATGCAGCCTGATTGATTGGTCTGCAAAGCGCTGTGCTGTGGGGTCAGCAGGCTCGGGCAGAGCACGCTGCTTAGATTGATGATCCTCAAAGGTCAAAATTGGAAAGCAATTCCCTGGTAAAATTGATTCTTTCGATAACAAAACTTGGGTACTGTGGCTAAGGGCTCAGCGGCGAGAAATAGAGGGCCTGAGACCAGGCAGGAAGGGGGAGCGTTTGGCTCTGTTTTCTTCTGATTTAATTTTCCTTGCTTACCCTGATTAGGGAGCGAAGTTCCTCTCCGGGCAGTCAGCGCATGATGTCCTGACGTGCTCTGTGCTCTGGTACTGCGATGTCCCCGGGGCCAGGCGCTGGCCCTGCTTGGGAAGGGAGGAAGCGCAGAGGTGCATATTCCCCTCCGGAGGCAGGGAAGGGCTGTAGTCAGGAGGAGAGGCCGTCCATGCAGCTGATGCTCAGCCCTGAGTGGAGTCCTGCAGAGTGAGGAAGGGCCCGGGGGAGAAATCACACAAGAGCTCACGTTATCCCACCGCGCTCAAGCAGGAACAGGCTGAAGGCCGCCTCACCGGACTGGGAAAAATGTCTTTTAATGGTTCTGCTTTCGAGAGCATAGATTATTGCACCATGGACAAAGCAGGGAAAACCAGTGCACTGTCCCAGGATACATTTTCTGGAACAAAATCAGTCAAACCCCTTAGTTTATGTCTAGTGGCCTGAGCTTCATCCCAGGGGCTGATAGAGCCATGTGTGAATTATGGACCCAGTCTTGGCCACTTCTGTGCTTCACATGAGTCACCCCAGGATTTTGAGGAGCAGGAATTATTGTGCATGGAGACAATTATTCCCTTCATGCTGCACTACTGCTCGTTAATTCTTGGTTAATGTTTGCAAATTGCTGGAGAGTGTTTTTCCTCATTGTCTTTTCCAAGGTGGCTGTGACTAAAAGGCAGATTCGGTGCCTTTTTCTTCTCGTTTTTCCACACATTCATTTGGTCTGAAACATATGTGGCTCCTTACTGGAGCCTCAGCTTGAGACACCGACTTACCATTAACCGCTCTGTGCTCCTGCAGTCACATAGTGGAAATAAAAATATCTCTCATCTTGGAAGCGAGACTGCAGGTCTGTCTTGGTCGAGGAAATGGGGATCATAACCCCAGCACCAAACACTCCAGCGAAACAGCTGCAAAACCCTGCAAAAAGAGCAGGGAAGGGCTCATCTTCACCACTGCGTTTTCACATGCACGGGCCAGACTTCTTCAGGGCGCTCGCTGACGTGTCTCCCGTCCTGCCCTTGCAGGTGCAAGTGCAACCTCCACGCCAACCTGTGCACGTTCCGGGAGGGCAGCCTGCAGTGCGAGTGCGAGCACAACACCACGGGGCAGGACTGCGGCAAGTGCAAGAAGAGCTTCCGCTCGAGGTCGTGGCGCGCGGGCTCCTACCTGCCGCTGCCCAACGGCTCGCCCAACGCGTGTAAGTAGCTCACAGGGAGCTCTCGCCGTCCCGAACGGGCACGCGGAGCGGTGGGATGCTCGGTTACGGGGCATCGGGATGCTCGATTTTAAGAAGGGCACAAATATTTACCAGTCTGCTGGGGTACACAGGCAGGAGATGCTTCCCGAGCAGATGCAAAGGTGGGTTTTGCCTTTTAGCAGCTGAACGATGAGTCCAGATGAAGGCAAGAACAGGAAGGACAACCCTACCCCTGTCTGCAAGCTCTGGGCCAAGGTCCGCAGCTGTGGGTGGCAAGGCTGATCACTGTCCCTAGAAGCAAAGGCACAGAAAGACGAGTCCAAGTGTCTCCCTGCTGTCCTCGAGTGCGGGAATTGGGCAGCATCCACCACAGATGGGCCGGTTTCTCCCACCTCACGTTACCACCGTGGCGGGATGTCACGGAGCCGCCGCTCCAGCCTTTCAAGCGGCGGCTTTGAGCATTACCAAAGAGAACCCTCCCTTCCTTCCCTCCCAGTTTTTTTGAAAAATTTATGTGCTTTAAGATGATCAAAGCCGGAGCGCGGGCTCCAAAGGCCGTGACGGGAATGCCTGTGCGCGCCAGGGCCCGGAGACGCGCGGGGCCTTTGAACGGCAACGCGCTTGTCAGCTCCCACCCGCGGCCGCGGGGCTTCAAAGGCACCGGGCGAGCGGCCGGCGCTGACGGGCACCCGCTCTGAGCCCTCCTGTCCTCCCCGCCGCCGTCACCTCCAATTTCTGCATCTTGGCCCTGTTTTCTGCTCTCTTGCAGGCGCCGCTGCAGGCTCGGCCTTCGGCAGTAAGTAAAAACACAACCGGAATGCGGGTGTTTAACATCAAGGTGCATGATCCTTGCGGGTGTCGCTAGAGAGGGTGGGGGGTAGAAACAGTGGCTGTTTTCTGTCCATCATCATCGTCCAGGCAGTAAGAATCCCCTCATTGCCCTTCATTTTCTGCCCAAGAGCCTCACATTTCTTTCCATCAACTCCAGCAGCCTCATTTTGCCTGCTCCTCTGGCACGTTTCCCCCCACGAGGTTCGTTGGAAAAGCAGAAAAGAAAACGAGGTGCTTCAAAAACACCGGCACTCCCGGGAATTTTTCTTCCCCGTATTGCAGGTTTTGCTCAGAGAAGTAGCCGGGTTTCAGTTATTTGGGTGCAGCATCCAGTTTGGGTCACCTTGGGCTACCTAAAGAGAAAAGCAGTTATAGCATGTGTACGTCTGTATATACACGTGTACTTATAGGAACAAATGTCTATGAAGCGTCGGCAGCAAAGTCAGTAGCGCTCAGCGGGGATTTCTGCTGAAAGATTGATGGTGCGAAGTGACTCCTTATTTAACAAAGCTGGAGGTAGTTGGATATCAAAGAGCCTTGAGCTTTGGGTACGCAGGAGCCTGGGTCTGAATTTTGTGCCTCAAAATTGCCTCGCAGAAGAAACAAATCGTAGAGCTGAATGAATAATGAATCCCTCGGTTTGCAAGTAAGTGGGAAGAGTTGGGGGAAAAAATATAGTTCGAGATAAATTCAAACACAAAAAAACTATAGAAAGGCAGCTAAATGGAGAGTGGGGGATGGCATTTCTGGATAAATGAAACATTTAGATTTTTTAAGCACTTGAATCTAAATGTTTTAAAAAAAACTTCGAACAAAAATTAAAAGTCTCCCTAAAGTAATTCTGGAATAAAAAAATCAAGTGTTTTAACATCCTCAAATCCTCTTTACTTTTCCAATTGAGGACTTGCTGCTAAATCAACTCTCTCACTTCCCTTCTATGCAGCTGGGAGTCCTCAGTTTTGCTCTTGTTTCACTGGAAAACCCTTTCCCACCCGAATTTCCCGCTAACGAGAAGCCATAAGAGCAGCGGGAAAGGTCCGAGTTGCGCTGGAAGCAGAGAGCAGGGATTTGTAGCTGAGGGCAGTTAAGGAGAGATTAAGCAGCCTGCACAGGAGACAAGAAGTGACCTAAATTAAGTATTTAAACTAGCTAAGGGCTATTACGAAATTAAGCACGATAATCAGCCCAGAGCAGCAGGACAAACAAGGACATGGGGGCAGCAGGTGTGTGTTAAGCAGGAATTTGTGCCCCGCGTGTTATTTTAGCTGCAGCCGCCATGGCAAGAGCAGCGCCGCGGCCGGGCTCGCTCCGGGCCGACGCATCAAGGGATTTTCCTGATTTTTGAAGCCAAGCCAGCAATTAAAACGCCCCATTGCCCGAAGGATGCTGGAGTGGTAATGGAGCAATGGAAACGGGACAGGTCTCCTCATGCTGTCTGCGCCAGTGGCCTTTTTTTGCCTCTTTTCTGCTTAATTGGCAATCACATTAGAGCTGTTAAGTATTTAAGCTAATATCTGCCCCAGCGGAGGAGGCTGGCACAGCCGCTCGGGCCCAGGCGGCAGCTGGAGCTGCCCAGATCCCGTGCGGAGCCCGGGCTCGGAGCAGGCACCGCTTCCCGGAGCCAGGAGATGCCCTTGGCCTCTGCTCCGGGCTGGAGCGACGTCCCTCGGGAGGCTCCTCACGTCTCTTCTCTTCGCCCGGTAGCATACGAGCGAGCGCAGCGCGGTCCTGCCACCAAAGTGACCGCCGCTAAAGTGACCACCACCGCGTCACCTACCACCACCACCTCCACCCGGCCAGGTGGGTGCCTCCCGGCCCAGGGCTTCCCTGGCCTCGATTCTTTGCACATTTTAGGCAAAAAGACATGGATAAAAATCACCCTGAATGTGGTCGCGTCCCCCAGCGTCAGGAAGGTCCTCACTTGTCCTGACCCGTTTCAGTCCAAGAGCGTTTTGGCACTGGTAGCAGGAGCTTGGAGTGAGGGTGCCAGCCCCAGAGTTGCCTCCTGTATCTGTGAAGACAGTCGTGATGAGTCCACCCCAAGGCCAGCAAAGCCCATGATCTTTCCTTCAAAAAAATAAAAACAACAACAAAAAGAGAGGTTTTCAGATCTCTTCTAGGGTCTTTTAGGGCCGCTCAGCAATGTAGTCCTGCACAGGGCTGGCAGAGCTGCCAGAGATGCTCTCTTACAGCAGGAACAGGGGAGGAAAACAAGGAGGACTTCAGTGTCCCACTGGTAAGAACCAAACCTAATGCCCAACCTCGCCAGGCTGCCAGGAGAAGCCCCCAACATTCTCCTGGGGCATCAGAGCCATCTCTGCTGCTGCTGCTCACCCAGCCCGTGGGCATTCGCCAGCAGTGCAGGGACCAGTGCTCACACGAGAGCCTAAAACACCCTTCCCTCATCCCTAAAATCAGGAGGATTTGGAAAATTTGGGTCGTTTTTCCTGGGATTCGTCCTCCCTCCACGAGGGAGGAGACATCCTTCTTGCTTTTCTTTGGGAAATGAGTGAATAACGACGTAGCAGCAGGACAATCTTTTTAAGCCTCTCATGGGGGAATTAGCCACGCGCTCTTTGCGGTGCCGTGCTTTCGGGGCCTGATATTTCCCAGGAGGACGTTTTACACCCACAGTGTGTTAGTAACAGCCTGTCTGGGGGAGCTGCCAGAAGCCAGTCAAAGGGATGAGGAAACTTGATTGCTTGTTTATGCAAATAGAGCGATATTCATGGAAGAGCCGGGCTCGAGCAGCTCATTGCGGAGCCGGGGGGGTGTCTCCAATTTCCAAGGAGTCAGAGTGACCCTGGGCAATGTCCTTGCCTGCTCGGAAGTGTCCCTTTTCCAGGCACATATTGCACCTGTGCAGGACAAGGGGCTTTGATTTTTATCCATGCTCACCCATAGCAGCTGCTCTGGTCTATATTTTGCCCGTGCCTACGTGCTTGGTGTCTCCCTCGTGTGTGGCTTCCATAGGGCATCCGCGGGGCTGGCAGGAAAGTGCCCACACACTGCTGGTGCTGGGGCCACCACGGCCACCAAAGTGCCACAAGGGGCCTGGGAAACGTCACTCGACTCGGGGTTCGTTGCCACCGGAACCTGCTCCTAGGCAGAACGGGCTTTTGTAACGTGTTCATTAACTGGTGACAGTGAGGGACAAAAGAAAAGATGTTGCCAAAGGAAGACATGCAGTCTTCACCTCCCTCTTCTATTAAGCATTAAAACCTCCCTCCTTGCTTCAAAGCCAGCTTGGCCACAAGGACATTTAAAAAAAAACCACCCTGTTCAGGCCCTGCTTCACCCTCTGACCTGTGGGATCTCTTTCACCTTCTGAATTTCTCCTTCCCACTTTAAGCGCCCACCTCCAAACCAGCCGCCGAGCTCGCTGCCGCCGTGCCCGCGCGGGACACCCAGCAAAACCCAGGTATTTAAGGGCAGATGGACGGGTTTTTCGCTCCTCCTTGATGCTGGAAACCTCAGGGGTACCCCCCAGGGCCCAAATTCAGCTCTGCTTTCACTTGCCTTCTGCACTTCTGTTATTCCTAATCTTTCCCCCAGGCTTGTCAAATTCTTTCTTCCCGATCGTGACATTTTCCCCACGCCTAAAATAAGCCAAAGCAGCCTCATCTCTGCTCCCATTTCCCTCCTTGTGGTTTGTAACCCAGCAGTTCCAGTCCGGTTCTGCAGGAAAACTCCAAATCAAAACGACTTTTCCCCAACTCCTCCTCCAGGGCCCTTTCCAGGCGTCTCTTGCTTCAGCATTTTTTGCTGGAAATTGGGGCTTCTCGGTGCCCCGTATTCTCCATCCCCAGAAACCCACCAAGACTGAGAGTTTTCATCAGTCCTGAGCAAAGCCCCATAGCCAGAAGCTGCCCAGCACTCGCTCTCTGTATTCAATAGGTCTGGGGGTGAGACATGTCTCCCATTCCCAAAATGGGAAGCTGTCCATTAATGTCATCGAGATCCGAGGGAAAGGTTCTGGGATAATGAGCATTAATAATTTCCCTGGCTCTGTGAATGTGATTGAGTGGAGGTGTATGTGAATGACTAAAAAGCAAAATGCCTTCAGGGCTGTTTTTTATTGTGACTCTAATTAAACCCTTGCCAATTTGCACAGGGCTTTTTTCATATTCTCTTTAACATGGTATTAATATCAATTGGCTTCCACTTTCCAGCTGAAAAGGACAATGTCTATCACCTTCTCTTAGAGCTTGTCATTAAAAAAATATATATCTTTTTTTCTTCTTTTTTATTCTGCATTGTTTATTATCCCCTTGCTGAGGCTGGGAAATCACATTTCTCTCCTTCTCGGGTTTGTCCTTTGAAACTTGGCAAGGAGTGAGGCATTTTTTTTCCCTCCTCCTCCTTATGTTACCCAACTGGAGCTTGAAATTAATAATATGGCTTTTAAATTTTTATCCCTCGATTTGTTTTCTAGCAAACCTGAAGATTGTCAGCAATACTGAGGAGATCAGGAGGGGTGTGGAGCCCACGGGGGGGCGAGAGCTTGCAGAGGGGAAAAATAGATATATATTTACATAAATATATATATATTTTTTTATAACAGGCAATCTAATCTAAAGCCAAATTTCTTGCCATTTTAATTTCTCATCAGTGGCTTGCAAATTCTTTAACTGTCATTCCTGTGAGAACAGCATGGCCTGAAGGAGGGTCTAGGACTTTGCGTTAGATTTCAGGACTTCTATCACAAAATACTCTTTTTTTTCCACCCGCCCTTCAGTTCTGTTATTCAAAATAGCTCCCCCAAAGCAGAGAGGGGCCATTGAGCCTCGGAGAGCCCTGCGCTGAGCACGAGAGGCCTTGTTCTCAGAGGGGCTGAGAACGGGCAGCTCAGCGCAGCGT